TGTATAAATTACTGTACACTTTTGAATAATGTAGTTAATCTACTAAAATTAGTTTGTTTAATATCGAATCATATCAATTTGTTTAAAAGCTCAATAAATAACAAAGAAGACCTTTGACCGGCACTTTTCTCATTTTGTCCGGAAGATTTAAACTTTAACGGACATGTTGACCGGCAAAAAAATATTCTAACGGGAACTCTGACCACTTCAAGTATAAGACCTGAGTACTTCTACTCTTATTCAAGTACAAGATCAGAGAACTTCTCCCACCTCTGATTATAGCCTTAACATAGGATTTAAAAGATATGGATAATGTGCATTGTGTGTAACATTATGCCCACAAAACAATCGATTATAAAACTAAGGATTGAGCTAACATTAGGAGTTAGTGACAATGTATGCTAGTTAGCTAGCTAAACTATTTATTAAATAATATTGCGAAAAAGTAACTCTGAAACATTCACTGCACATCAGCTCAGCCACTCGAGCACCATTAAAAAATTAAAAATGAACACCCTGCGTAATGACGGCATAGAACAGCTCAATTTCAAACTATTTACATTGCAATTATAATTGTTTAATTCTTTGGATTTTATTTTCTTAATTTACAAAATGACAATGTAACTAGTTGATAAATAATAAAACAAACACTGAAGGCCTTCCAAGGACACAAGCAAAACATGTTATATAAGACTTCTCAATTTAAAAGAATAAACTGACAATAAAGAATAGAGAACACTGATAACTAATGTTGGTGTATTTATATAAGTTTGATTATGATCAGGAATATCCCATCTGTACTTTGCAGTCCTGTCCCAAGTACAAGTTAAGTAGGTATTAATCAACGTGTACATATCTTTTTTAGTCATGCATAGTACTGCCTTCCTGATTGCTTTATTTTTGAGAAACCTATTCTGCACCTACCTGGGTTTTAAGAGAGTCCAATACCCCATGAGACTGTTCAGTCTCATAAAACATGCTCAATTTACTTTTTGAAAACACAAGCTCACAATAAAGTCAGATGGGAGATCTACAGAAGCAAAGTGTGATAGACAAAGATGCATTCCTATATTAAACAAACAGAAAATACATCTTTGTTGTTCCACGAGGCAGTTGTAGCCATAGCAAATGGATTAACAAGTGAATTTAGGTACTTAACCTTCAACTACCTGCTGCCTGAAATCCCTGTGACATCACTGTAGATTGTTGTAACCAACTAGCTGTGTGGGACATTATCACAATACATATTTAAGTTAATTGACTTGGATTGTAAATGTATTTCGCTGTACTGTAGTTACTAGCTTTGTCTACATGCTTTGGTGAAGGCCTATTCTTTCAATGTGATGCATTGAATAGTTGGATATTATTAGACGTCTAAAAGGACAACATTGTTCGTTCTACTGTAATTGCAATGCTAATACCAATTTAGCATAGTGGTAGCACTAACTGCTAACACGGTTTTGATATTCAGAGTCTGGCTGTTAGTGCATGTTCAATGTTATGGGCTAAATTGTACATGCTAGTGTGATAAGGCCTAGGGGAAGATGCTAATGTTATTTAACTTCTAGATCCTTTCATTTTTCACTTAGAGTGAAACTCAATATGTTTTTTGCATACTGTGCGCCAATCACTCTGTGTTTTAAATATTGAGTTAAAGTCACACATTTTAGAACATTGATACATTTCTAAAAGCTACTTTCCTAACAAACATGGTGCAGTTGTAGCAATCGCTACGAGAATGAACTCTGTGTTAGCTGCACAAGGCACTTTGCGGTAGCTTCACGTCTCTGATGATCTGAAAAGCTAAATGATGTCAGAAATGTACACAGCTTTTTCTTGTGTTGAAACAGATCAGCAGGTCAATGTTACTTGGGTTGTGAACGCACAACAGTTGGTTGTTTGTTAGTAGAGTTGCTTTACTGTAATCGCAATGCTAATACCAATTTAGCATAGTGGTAGCACTAACTGCTAACAAGGTTTTGATATTCAGAGTAGGCTATGCTGTAAGTGCTTGCTAGCATGTTCAATGTTATGGGCTTATGCTAGTGTGATAAGGCTTAGGGGAAGATGCTAATGTTATTTAACTTCTAGATCCTTTCATTTTTCGCTTACAGTGAAACTCAATATGTTTTTTGCATACTGTCTGCCAATCACCGTTAGCTGCACAAGTGACTTTGCGGTAGCTTCGCGTCTCTGATCATCTGAAAAGCTAAATGATGTCAGAAATTGGCACAGCTTTTTCTTGTGTTGAAAGAGATCAGCAGGTCAATGTTACTTGGGCTGTGAACGCACCGAACACCAAAACTGCTCCCTGGTGCCGGCTATCTGGCAGCCTCTCTGCGATCCCCTCTCCTATCCGCATGTGGTTGTGTTTGTGCATGTATATGCTCTGTGTGTTTGTGCATGCACAGTATATCCTCCCTGTGTGTGTAATGTGTTTAAACACAACAGACATTTCCCTCTGAGTGATGAATACATTATATCTTCTTCTTCTTCTTCTTCTTCTTCTTCTTCTTCTTCTTCTTCTTCTTCTTCTTCTTCTTCTTCTTCTTCTTCTTCTTCTTCTTCTTCTTCTTCTTCTTCTTCTACTTAGAAATCATAAGTGAATGGTCACATTAGGTTTGCCTGCAGTGAATGCTGACAGCTATGAGCTAGTTTATAGATGTATCATGGCATAGCCAAATGTCTCCTATATAACCCACAGGCTGTTACTGGTGGGTAATAGTATCATTTTATATCTGAATTGTGCTCTGGTAGGAATTCACACCCAACATGCTAACAGTCAAGTTTTTTTTTAACTCTATGGTTTTACACAGTTTTTATAACATGAAATTCACATATTTAACAATTAAATCTTCAAATTATTACAAATGTAGCAATAAAGTGAAAGTCAAAATGTGTTAAAATATAGTTTTTTTTACTATAATAGGATAGTCAATACCTGTGTTTTTTCAGTTTATCAATGTAAAGTAGTGGTTAAATTAAGCAAAATTACAAAATATTTCTTTCTTTACTCATATATTTTCTTGCAATTATACATTTTTTAAATGAGTATTAACAGTATTTGTTATGTATTTGACAGTTATATATAGCCATAACAAAAGTATTTTTTAGTAAAATTACAGAAAATGCAGCTAATTTTGCCAACAGAAAATCATTTATTTTTACGGTTAGTTTTGTTAAATTCGCATTTAAAAACTGCTAAAAAACAGATAAATAATGTATTCCATTTCTAGTTTTTTTTTGTTAAAATACATGACACATTTCAATAAACCGTTTATTCTTGTAAATTGAATATGATTTCCTGTAATTATGAAATACAATAAAAAACTGTAATTTTTTTGGGGGAAAAACTTTTTTACAGTGTAGCTGAGGATTCTTGGTAGTGTAGTGTTTTCTGCCATCCTAAAGTCCAAAAAAATATTTGTTTCTCCGAATCGAAGGGGAAAAACACAAAAGCATTGCACACAATTTAAACCAATCATTGTTGTGTAATTAACAAGGATAGCTCTGTGTTCACAGGAAGAGGATCATGTCTGTGTCTCACTGTGTTCTTTTTAAAGAGGTCCCACTCTGGGAAACATATGAAAGCCTAAAGAGTGCAGTTAGTGGGACTGCTGGCCTCATGCTGTGATGTCTGACAGATGTTCCCTCAGATCCCACACCTCTGATCCTCGGAGCCGTTGGCCTGCTGCTGGTTCTGCAGCTGGTTCTGATGCTTCACTTCTGCTTTAAGGTAGGCATGTGTTCAGAGGTTGATATTCTGGGCTCTCTCAAAAAAAACATCCTCCCCTCGGTCATGAACCTTGGAGTGACCTTCAGTAGCACTTTTAAATTCGACAAGCAGGTCAGCACTGTAGTCAAATCCTGCTTTTTTAAAATAAGACTATTGGCCAAAACCAAGTCGTATTTATCTTTTAATGACTTAGAAAGGGTTATTAACGCCTTTGTTACCTCAAGATTGGACTACTGCAACGCTCTGTATGTGGGTATGGACCAGGCCTCAATTAAACGCCTGCAGCTAGTCCAAAACGCAGCTGCACGTTTGCTGACTGGCTACAAAAAGTAGAACTCCTCCAGCGCTACACCCCAGCCAGAGATTTAAGGTCTGTTGACCAGCTGCTGCTGGTAGTGCCCAAGACCAGGCTTAAAACCCGAGGGCACCGAGCCTTCGCAGCAGCTGGCCCTAGGCTCTGGAACACTCTGCCCCTCCATGTGAGATCGGCCCAGACCCTAGGGGTTTTTAAATCTACACTAAAAACACACTTCTTCTCTCTGGCCTTCTAGTTAGAGCGGAGTACGACTCCTGACTTTTCCTTGTGTTTTATTTTTATTTTTTATATCTGTTGTAATTTATTGTCTTTTATTGTGATTGTAGTAATGTGTTTTTATTACATGTACAGCACTTTGGCTCGACCAAAAATCGCTTTTAAATGTGTTTTATAAATAAAACTTGATTTGATTTGATTTGATTTGACTGTGATGTGGGCCTGAAGAGGAGCAGGAACTAACCTCTGTGCTGTCATGTCTCTGCAGGCCACCAGGGGGCAGCCTGGCAGACAGGAGGACATGGAGCTGGAGGAAGGTAACCTGGCTCTGCAGGTCACCTTGGTGTAGGCAGACAGGAGGACATGAGCCGCGTTCACACCGGAGTACTTTTCACCGTACTTTTCGCGTTTAGTCCCGTTAGTACCCCTTATGTCGCGTTCACACCAAAAAGAGCACTTAATCTCGGGAACTTTTACCCCCATTTTTAGTGCCTGCTGAGAGATCGTACTTTCCTGGGGGAAAAAAGTGCCCCAGTTCTGGTTGGCTGGGCGAATTGCAAACCACGCCCCGTACAACTCTGAAATGTTTTGTAGAGCCGCCATTTTATTATCCTCGCATTAGCATTATTAGCATTAGCATTCGCCCAGCGCACAAACGCAGAGAGACTAACTTATGGCAACACAAAACAAAACATGGGAGCGGTGGAGATGAGGAGGTGTCGGCGTTCTGGCGATTTACTCGGAAGGCTTCAGTAGAAGCTGCTGGGAGTCCCAGCAGCTTCTACTGAAGCCAGTCCCCAACTCCGGGGACTTCCGGCCGGGGACTCCGGGTGGCAGTATACGCCGTGAATTTGTTTGCTGCCTGCCAGTAAACCCAAAGCAGAAGAAGACGAAGTGACGTCAGCGGCTCATTTGTGTAATCTTCCCTCAGGGAAAAGTACTCCGGTGTGAACGCGATCTGTACTAAATGCCCTGGGGTCATAAGTGCCGGGGCTCTGAGTGCCGGCACTAAATACGGCAAAGTACTTGGTGTGAACGCGGCTATGGAGCTGCAGGAAGTTAACCTGGCTGTTCCTGCAGAGGAAGAGTAGCAGCTCCTCCCGACACACACATATGATATCTAGCCTATCCCATGATATATAATACATGATAATTCAGCCCCTGCTCAGAGTACAGATGTCCTGATGGCAGAACTTCAGAGCTTCATACCTGAACAATTCAGATTTTATCTTGACTTTTTTTTTTAAATCGCAAAAATTCAGACTTTCTCTAAATGTTCTGACCTTTTCCTAAATTTCAAAATCCTGACTCTTTCTGAAAATCACAATATATTGACTTTTTCTCTAAACCGAAAACATTTTGACATTTTTGCAGAATTTGAGTTCAGTTTCATTTGTGATGAAGGCTTGCTTTAAAGGATGTACCAATGATGCTTTGTGCTCTGCTGTATTTGATGTTGCTTTATTATGTGAGAGTTTTTCACATTTTGGGGAATTAGCATTTTAGAGCTTTTGCTTCATTGTGTGTTTCTGCTTGTTGTTAGGAGGATTTGAGTTTTGTAATTAAAAAATCCTTATTTCCGTTTCATTTAGGAATTCATCTGATTTCATGAGAAACGATTTTGATTTGATTTCAGAAAGAAATGTACTGAATTCTGAGATGATATTTTCTTATTTTTTACATTTGAATTGAAAAATGTAAAGAAAAGTGTAATTTGAGAGGAAGGATCTGATATATATGAAGAGGTAAATCAGGTTAAATATAATGAGGGAAAATGGAGAAAGACGTATAATGATGAGAACATGTGAATAAATGAAGCCCTGCACACAGACCTGAGATCAGATATTAACAGAGATCACAGAGATTATCTTCTATGTTCAATCAAATAAACGGTGACACTCTGTACATGCTTTCACTTTCTTCTGCTCAGCGTTTTCCTTCAGAGGCAGTGGCGGAGCTGGGGGGTGGCTGGTATACCTTTTAAGTATACCTTTCATCATTCATCAGGAATTAACATTAATAGGACGTTATATTGATAATGTACTGACTAAACTTACAATTAATTTAATTAATTTTCTTCCAAAAGTTAATTATCCAAAGCCTCTGTACACCCCCTTCTATTTACGTAATGGTTTGGTCCCGCCTCCGCCTCCAAACGGCACTTTCTAGCAGAGAGTGAGAGCATGTGAGGAGCAGGGATGCTAGTACTTACGTGTGTGCCATGTCTCAACGACTCACAAAGTCAGGCTTTCAAAAAGAAAAGAAAGGAGAGAAAGAAAAGAGAGAGGGACTAAAGGGCGACAGTATGTCACCCAGTTTTTCAAGAGAAAAGGTGAGTGGTCCATGAGTGGTGGAAATTAGTCTGTTAGCTTAATGTTAGCATTTTTAGCTACCTAGCGTCACCTGTTTTGATGTACGTTTTTGCTTATAACGTCGCAAATACGTATGATTCAGTGTTAATGTCGGTGTCAATCGATTCTGTGTCACCTCTCGATGTGAAACGATGTGTTGGATGTGATGAAAAGATAAATAATAAGGTTTTGTGAGTGATTTTCGGTGCAGTAAGGTGTTAGCATTTTTTGCTCGTTGCTAATTCAGAGGCTCAGTGTTAGCATTGTGGGTTTTCTTTTGAAAAAAAAAAAAAAAAAGATCAGTTAGATGAGTTTCTTCCCATTACATGGATATAAAACATTCATAGTTTTATTAAATGAACATGCCCTCAGACACTGTTTCCTGCAAGATGTTGCGGCACCCGGTACCGGGGTCTCTCGGGCTTAACAGGTTAAAAAGGCATTTACACCATAAAAGATGACTATTGAGATCTATTGTCAGGAATGTTAGTCTTATATGTATGGCCAGAGGGCAGTACCTATAAACACATTTACTGCCCAATAGCATTGTTCATTTCCACCTTGTTGTGGAAAAAGCTCCTTATATCCGTTAGCGTAGCTCGCTAGCACCAGAAGCTAACAACAACAATCTCCGGTACCGGTGTGCTCTCTCTCTCTCTCTCTCTCTCTCGCTCGCGCACGCACACAAAATGGCTCGTTCCACACACACACAGAGCCGAGCTTGAATGAAACACAGAGACCCAGACGTACTTGTACTGTATCATATTATTTTCGAATCAATACATTTTCAAATTATGATTATTATTTTTTTTTTTTCAAAACCATTTATCCTCCTGGTCTCTCGCTGTCATGCCTCTGCGCCCTCTGCGCCCACCAGGGGGGGGTGCGCCCCCCACTTTGAGAAACACTGGGTTAATGTATAATATTACTTAATAATACAACACATTATATAATATATGATAATTA